GGTGGGGTAACCAGCATAAGGTTGCCAACTTTTATTCTGCCAAGGACATTTAAAACAAAACACACAAACAAAATAACCCTACCAACTACCCATCACCATTATATAATATGTTCCCACCAAAAGTGGTAAAACATAATTGTAGAAAAAAAAAATCTTCCAAATTCAATGGATTGAGCTTTATGAAAAGCTAACTACATTCTCATTTCCCTTCAGATAGGTGAAAACTTTGTCATAGACTGACACAACTCCACAGGTCGGCAACTGGGAATCACAGGTCCAAGTGGCCAACTCTCGCTCAGAAAAGGAACCAACGATAGGACATGTCCAAACCAAATATTAGCCTATTCAATAACCAGGAAATGAGAGCGTGAAGGGGTCTGGGAACTCTCCTAAGGCTGCAGACCATGGATTTTGACATGGGTCTGTCTAATTCCAGAGGCAGAGTTCCTAACCATTATGCTAAGTTTCCTCTAATATTCTTCCAAAGCTATAAAGATCCACCCTCATGCAGTCACCTTTGTGACCAATGACAACCAAAGAATTTCCAAGACAGCTGGAGGGAGTGAGAGGTGACTCCCTGGCCATCACTCAAACTAAAGCTAAATGGAACTCCTGACCTTTGCCTCGCTAATCCCAGACTCACTGAAACTAAGCCAAACAGCCCAGACAAAGCACACACAGAACCCCTGCCTCCAGCAACACTGATGCAGGGCTCTCTGGACATTCCCAAGGGCCTGTGATATAGTGAAAACCATATTCCTGAAAAACAAAAGGAATGTATTAATTCTCAAGAAGGAAGTAAACACAGTTTACTGGTTCCATGGTAACCCAGTCTAAAAATAATAAACTTGCCCTCAAAAAATTACAACTCTAAGCCTTATTCTGCAAACTATTACAATCTTGTACACATTAATACACAAGTTCCCCCATTTAAATGCCTAAACAGAAAACTACATGAAATTCTACAAATTTACAGTTCTTAAAGTTTCTAAAATAAAATAGGTTATTTTCATATGTATCATATAATGAACAAAATTATCTTTTTTTTTTCTTGAAACAGAGTCTCACTATGTTACCCCTGGTAGAGTGCTGTGGCATCACAGCTCACAGCAACCTCAAACTCCTGGGCTTAAGCGATTCTCTTGCCTCAGCCTCCCAAGTAGCTGGGACTACAGGCATCAGCCACAACGCTCAGCTACTTTTTTATTGTTGTTTTGTAGTTGTCATTGTTGTTTTGAATAAAATTACCTTATTTTATCCCTCTAGGCTAATCAGAAGATTGGAGACAAAAATACTCATGTTAATCAAAAGTATTTTAAAAAGAGCTAGAAAATATATCTGTAATTAAATTCCACTTTCTGTAAAAGGCAATATTAACAGTTAGACACAAATATTATCTTTGAAAATTCAGAGGTTCTTGATACTGAAACCAAAATCCAAGTAGAATATTGTACCAGAGAGTTGCTTCTAAATCCTCACATATCACTTGCCAAACAAATGTCCAAAAGAAACAACCTAACATAGCTTTTAAGTAACCTAAGTCTGACACTCTGAACCAAATGAATCTGAAATAGTTGTTTCCTCCCTGAAATACAGTAATGATAGCATAATATTCTTGCTAGCAAGGGCAAGAAAATTTTATTTCCCAATTGGATTTTTCATGTTCAGATATTTCTATTCCATTTGAATCTGGAAAGTGAGGGAATACTCAGATTATCAAGTTCTTTACCTAGAACATAAAGTAACCTATTTAGTGTCTTTTCCATCTGTTTTAAATAGATGGCATCTTATATAAAGTCGTTTTGGGTTTTTTGGGTTTTTTTGCTTTCCCCTCTACACTCTCCCTTGGCGCTTTCATCTTCTTAGACAGATTCACATTCATCTGTATTACTCACCAAACCCACGTTTAATATATGCCTAGCCCTGACCTATCTCCTGAACTTCTAGCCCACATTTCCAAAAGACGCTAGATGTTTCTAGTTTGGGGAAAGCATATGAAAAACTCAACATATTCAGAACTGATCTTATTACGCACCTCCTCACCCATATTTCTAGCAACAGTGTCACCATCAACATCACCCCTACCTAAAAAAGGTAATCTCCATCACCCATCTCCTCCAAATCTTCCCCAACAATCCCCCCTTACCCTCCCCACCCACTAAAAGTTGTCTTGCTGAGCCTTCACTGTCCCCCATTACCACTGCCCTTGCCCAGTATTTATATTATACTAGAAACCGGGTTTTCCACAACAAATCTTTCTGCATCCCACATTATTAAACCTTGCAAACTTCTCATTACCTCCCAAATGCTGTACATCTAAATACTGCATTTAAGCATGCTCTATAATACAGTCCCAACTTAAATTTCAAACCCCATCTCTTATTCCTCAACCATATATTCTACGGAATCTAGTGCAGTAATTCTTCTCAAAGCACACAGGGAACTTTCCCACCTCCACACTTCTGCTCACATCATTCTCTTCATTTGAAAGGCCTTCTTCATCCACCTACTCTCAACCCATAAATCTTTGTCTTAGAAAAGTCTTAACCTCGGCAACACCGAACTCATGATACAGTGAAAACATATAAGCTTTGGCACCACAAAGAACTGGATTCAAATTGGAACTGCGGTACCTGCCAGCCACAATCCCAGGCGAGTAACTTAACATATTTGAGCCTTAGTATTCTCATTAGCAAGTAAGATATACTTAGATGGTGCTGTGAAGCTGGTATGTACATAAAGCAACTAGCATAGGTCCTGGAGCTCAATAAGTGCTCAACAAATAGTAGCTTCAGAACTGTTCTTATAATAGTACCACATCTCCACTACTTTCCATGATTACTTAAGCTAAAAATGAACCCTTTTCCTTTTGCACAATCAATTCCAAGCTTTAGATCAAACCACTCACATGGATCTTTACAAATATTTCTTTATCTTGTAAATGTTTATGCAAATATCTTACATCCCCTTCAAGATTTCAAATTCCTAAAGCCCAAAGACTTAATCTTTGTATTCTACAAGGCCTACCATAGTGCTTTTCATGAAGCACTCAACATCTTCCTCCAATGTTAAGTCCCAATTAGAAAAAAAAATTGTTGGCATACCTCAATAACACAATTCAACTCTTCATTGCAGACACACCTAGAAAATTATTTCCAAAACATGAATCTTAGTTGTCATAGTTGTATCTTTACGTGCTCCAACATGGTTGCCTGAGATACCCTGATGCATAGCACATGCTCAATATTGAGTATATAATAAAATTTACAATGTCTGAGAATATCTGATTGTCCCCAATCACCTGTTTCTGCTCTTACATTTCTCATCTAAATGCATTAACTATCACACATACAATATAAATGAATAACTTAAATTCTGCAACTTAACTCTTTTCCAGGTTCTCTCAATTCCAATATTCCAAGCTTAAGCTGTAAAGAGTTAAACACTTCATATACTAAGAAGCTACAGTTTCCAACTAAATCTAAAAGTTATGCAACTAATTTCTCTCCACAATTTTTTCCAAGGATTTTTAAAATCACCCACCTTTTGCCTATTCAAGATCAACAACCTTGAAATAAATTTTCCTTTGCATAGGCAAGTTCAATGAACTTTTCACTTCCGTCTATTTCCCCAAATTCATGACATTACATATTCAAGAAAAACTACAATATATGTCCCAATACAAGCATAAGATGAGAGATGAAGATAGCATCACTAGTTTCATGAAAGTAGTCAGTGTATACGTTTGTCTACAAAAACAGAGCCATAATCTTCGGTAATTACATCCCTTTGGGCCATTAAAAAAAATCCACGTTAAATATAAAAACCCATATTTCCTACAAATCTTGCAACAGTAGTTTACCACCTAAAATCTGTTCACTAAATCAGTGAGATATAAATCTGTGTATCTACATCACCTTCTCCTCTAGGAAATTCTCAGTTTATCTGATGTAAACACTTAATAGTGTTAAGTAATGTAAGTTCAAACAAACAAAACACCCCTGCCCACCTGTGTGAACTCTTGCATTGCACTAAGAGTACAGTATAAGTAATCTTTCCGGAGAAATCGAGAACAATTAACTTTAAAAGTTAAGGAAAATGGCAGCTCTAAATAAGAAGATGAACAAAGTCTGAGGGGAAAGGGCTATAATTGTCCAGCCCGTTGCAACAAATTTGTGCACCAACCTCTAACTGAACTCATCATACAACTACAATTTCGGATAGCCACAGGAATTAATAGTGTAGATTGGAGAGTAGCATCATTTTTTCATATCTGCAAAAAACTGCGGAATTTATCTGAAGTACCAATCTTCCTCAGGCACGCTTTTTTGTTTTTGTTTTAAACGTAACTTCCACAACAGCTTCACTAAGCTTTCAAACGAGTAAGGATCCTACGGGGCATGCTGCTGCCACGGTGACCTACGTATCCAGAACCGCCTCCGAGCGCGGTCCAAATCGATCCACGGCAACCCCGAAGCCAGCGTGGATGCGCCGCTCTGCGAAAGATCCCTGGCATCTGCACAGGCAGCGCCCCACCCTGGGACAGAGAGGACGACGACACCCTTGGGACCCGGACTAATAGCAGAGCCCGGGAACAGACTCAGGCAGAGGAGGCGAAAGTCGGGAACTGCAGCCCAACACTGAGTCCAGCGCGCAGGTTCCTAGTTCCTAACCTCAGGTCGAACACAGAAAAGCACTCGGGGAAGGAGGCGAGATCCGGGGGCAGACCCAGGGGGTCGGCCAGAGGCCCAGCCCATCCTCACTCCGGGGTCCCAGCAGCAACAACAGCTCGGGGAACCCGCTGCCGGGCTCCGCCCCGCCCACCCCACAGCCCCAGTGCCCGCAGCTTCCCGCCCCGGCGGCGGCGGGCAACAAGCCCCTTCCCCGGACCTCGACAGCCAAGCCCGCAGCCGGGAGCCGGGAGCGGACAGCGGGGGCACGAGAGCGCCAGCCCCGCCGCGAGCCCGCGGCCGTCGCCGTCCGCCTCCCCGGCCACTCACCGTCGGCCCGGGCGCTGGAGGAGGCAGGGCGCGGGTCGGCGGGCGCGGAGCCCCGGACTCCGACCCTGGCTGGAGACCCTCCTTGGAGCCGATCGAGTCTCGGCTGCTATACCTACAAGGCCTCTCTCCGGCCCCAACCCTGGACAAGCACTTCCGGGGGAGCGGGGGAGGGAAGGGTTTTGGCACCGGAACTGCTCGCGGGCGGCAGCCGCCGAGATAGCTGGGCGGGGCGGGGCGGGGCCTCTCCGCCGGGCGCGCGCGAATCCGCCCTGGGGCTCCGGACGAACCGTTTCGGCGCCGCGCGCTCGGCTCCCGGGCTGCGGCTGCGCCCTAGACTCGGCTGCCGTGGGGGTCGTTCGGCTCCGGCCACCTAACTTCACAGACAAGCAAACAGAGGTGGGGGGCGGGGGCGATATGGGTGCACGAGTCTGGCGCGTACGCCCAGGCTCCCGAGCCTCTCCCGAACACCCCCCATCTGCCGCCTTAAAAATGAGAGTCAACATTTGTTGGATGCTACTCCTAGTAGGCGCTGTGTAAAGCCCTCGGGTGCTTTAACTCATTTAATCGTACCCAGAGCGGTGGAGGTTGGTGCCGTCGTCTGCATCTCGCCCTGGAGGAAAAGGGTCAAAGACCCCAATCCTGGCTCGGCGCCC